ATTTAAACACATGCCATGCCAGGCGTACATTTTCCTTTTGTATGGTGCGTAATTCACCTGAATGGGTTTTTCTCACCGAGAAAATCAGATTCCTGCTGTGTCTTTTTCATTCGATGAATACAATTAAAAAATATGTAGTGTCATTGTGACCCTGACTTCTACCAAACCACATTTACGTAAACTCACTTTGGACTCACTTGATTTTTCTTGTTCTCCAGATAACACTAACTCTTTCTTTATCCCTGTTCAACCTCTATTCATACTTTTGCACATGTTCCATCATGGGCTTGTATTTGATAAAAACATCTAGTAAAGTCTAAAGAGAATAACATTGAAAAGGAACACAATTAGATGACCAGGACCAAGTATCAATGGTGTTATTGGTGATTTGTATTCACATTTGTTTAAAACAATTTATGTTTGTATATAGTTATTTTACATGTGTAAAATTTGAAATACTGCAGTCTAAAAAGAAAAGTCCTGGATTCAAAAAGGTTACCAATGTATAAGTGTTTGCATATAGCCTAATACGAGAAATTCAATTACTCATTATGCAGAACAGCTCAAATCAAAATATAAATAATTGAACTGGATTATAATTATGGATGTGTTCATCACTTAATGTTGTAGCTGGGTTAGGCTAACAACATTCGGTACAAAATCCTTTTGCCTTTTACTATTCCAAAACCAAATCAGTAATTATGGGTGAGTTCTCCGAAAACAATTATTATCATAGCTTCTAATGGATTGACTTTGACTTTCCCACAGGCGAGTTAGTAATTATAATGTTATTTATTTATTATAGATTAGTATCATAATTAATAAAGTCAACAGAGCTTTCATTTTGAATGTGAAGCAGCTCAGTGAGAAAATTAGAAATGATTTGGTACTAACCAGGTTTTTACTATGTTCTTCTTTCAGAATGAATCCTCTGCTGTGATGTTTCCATGAAGGATAACACGCTTCCTGATACTGCACAGAAAGTGGAACGCTCTAACAGTTTCAAAGTGGGAGGTTTATCTGTACTGTAGGGAGAGTCAGTTTACGTTTCCTTGTTGTCTAGTCAGCTTCAGCTATAACAATTTAAGAACAGAGGGGGATACTGTAACACTACATGGACCTCTAAGGTGACCTGATCTGATCATTAAAGCCTCTGGAGCCTCCTCCCTCAGCTAGAAAGGTCACATTTCAGCAAAGACATGGACCCAAATACTCGGGTGGTGGGCCTGGACGCCCAGGGGAACATGGTTTTCACCGTGGTCAAACCCGTAATGGGCATCTTCCAGGTGGCTTCAGAACAAACTGGCAATGTGGCACATGGCAGCATGGGACTCCAGGGTTTATCTGAAAGCACATTAATTCTCCCTCAGATGCAAGGCCAGCTTGACCAGAACCAGATGGAAATGCACCATTTACAGCCTCATATTCAGATGCCACAGATGCAGGTTTCTGCCCCAGAGCAGATAGAGGTTGTGCCCCAGAATCAGGACCCGCCTCCAAACTCAAGCACAAATCCACAATCTGCAACCCACATGCCTTTTGCTGAGGTGTCGTCACTTCTGGATCCCAACATGAAAGGATCTAAGGCTCGTAAGTGGCCAGATATGTAATTGAAAACATTGTACTTTTCAAGTTTAACGCATTTATGATTGACATTATTAAATACTATTAAGTCCATGCTGTGCTGATTCTCCTCCTACTGTCTTGATCTGTTTTAAGGGAAATATCTAATCTCGTATGATGAAATCAAGCGACGCCTGCAGGCCCCGGAGAAGATGTCTCTGCGCTCCCTGGCAGCGTACACTCGGGTCAGCAGAGGCCCGGCCAGCAAGAAAACTCTGCTGGAGTCACTGAATGTTCTCGGCCTCACACCAAGCACAACTACCTCTGTTTCTTCCTCTTTCTCCAAACTCACTGAAGGTGACACAGATCTGTTAAAGGATGTGTAAATGTGATGTTGCTAACAAGAAAGCAAAAGCCTTAACTGTGTTTTCATTTGTGTATGTGGTAAGGCGACACCCGAGCACTGTGTGACGATATGAAGGACTTTTCCCATGACTACATCGACTACAGCAACATGGCTAAACAACTCATCCCTGAGACCAACACAGTTCAACACTGGTCCAAAATAATTGAAACTAAGTACGTACTACATGTCCTCGTTATAACCTAGCCTTCAAGAAGTGTGGATAAAGACCGTAATAACACACTTTGTTTCCTTAGGAACCACCTGGAGGACATGAGGAAGTGTTTCATGGACCCGGTGAACAGCGGTGCGTTTGATAACGTCACTCACGGCCTGGGTCTCGGTATGTTGGACGCAGCCCTGGACATGGTCATTATGGTTATCGAGCAGCAGATCCGGATCCTGTCCGGCACAGCGGCATCAGACCCCGCTGACTCCGCTCCGCCAATGCGCCGTATCCGCAGGCGCCATCGAAAATCCCGCCCGAATGACATTGAGTCCCCTCACAAGGCGTCTGCTGGGGTCAACGAGAAAGGGAAGGTCATTTCGAAGGGCAAGGCTCGAGGCAAAGCCAGGAAGAAGATAAGTCAGGAGAGTGCAGCTGCTGTTCTGATGGAAACCCAAGCAGAGCAGTGCCAGCCGGATGATGCGCAGGGTAATGTCCTCACTCTGGTGTCTGTTGGATATGAGACTGTCTCCAGTGGGCTCAATACAACAGGGATAGTTGGACACAATGTCACATGACCAGTCCAAAGAACCAATTATAGTCCCATTCAAAGGGATGAAACACAGGCTCTGCACACTCTGTGAAAAGAGATCACAGCTATGGCGGGCTCAGCATCAACGTATTATGTTACATCTTGAAAAAAGACTTAAAGGAATAGTTGGATGTTTTTGGAAACGCTTTCCTGCAGAGCGTTAGATAAGAAGATTTATACCACTTTGTTGTCAGTCTGTATTCTAAACAAGTAGCTGGGAACAGCATGTGGTTAGCTTTACTTAAAGGCTGGAAACAGGTAAAAACACTTTAGTGTCTGACCAAAAATAACAAAATCCACCTGCCAGCAACTGAAAGTCCACCCAATTAACACCTGACATCATATTTGTTAGAACCACACACTCAAATCTGAAGTGTAAGTGGTTTTACGGTTTGGTATTGTGTCTTCTACTCTTATCTTGTACAGAATAAGTCATGTTCAGTGAGCCTTAGCAGTTCAGATTTAATTGAATTTGGACGAAGCTGTTTCCACTCTTCATGCTCAGCTAAGATAACGAGCTGCTACTACAGATTTAATTTACATAAATGAATGTGGTTTCAATCTTCTGGTCTAACTCTTGGTCAGGGCCGGACTGGGATAATAATTCAAGCAAGGAATCTTACATCAACCCGGGCCAATCCTCACATTTTCACAGACCTTGTACTTGAAATGTATTTTTCTGGGTACTGTTTATGCCAGTAAAATATGTTTTCGTTTTTATTTTGTTACTAAAGAAAAATCTGCCAAAAAAACCCCCCAACAAGGATAAAAACGTCTTCAGTTTAAAACATTCAACTGCACTTCAATAATCAATGCATCAGGAATAATTAGTTGATTTTTGAGCATTCTTGAAGTGTTCATTTGACACCAGGCATTTCCCTAGAGCTCTGATTGGACCTTCGTTGACGTAATGAAACTCTGTGTTAACGGAGACATAGCATTGATGTGTGGAAGCCATGTATGAATTAAATCAGAAAACAGAGTCAACTAGGGAGAGGAGTTGGGATATTATAGTGTGCTGTACCATCCCTGGTAGAACGTGTTTTTTAATACTCTCTTACTATTACATTGAACACTAATCCTGTCCCATGAGCAATTGTGCAGTATTAAGCAGTATGTCTCTTTTAATATTTTATTTTCATTTAGAAATGCAAAATGAAATGGGTAAATCAATAGCACATTTCCCTACCATCCCTTTAAGTGAATCCTGTGTTTATTTAGTAGCAGGTTTCATATATGTGTAGTCTAACTGAATGCAGTTAATCTTTTAAACTATGTTTTCAGTGAGAAAAAATTCAGATGTTTGTAGACATGTTGAACACTGAGGACCCTGCCTGTGCTCAGGTGTGCCGCTCATGATTTAGAACAGATAGTATCAGAGGTCTGGATTGTATTTTCTGATGGTGGTACAATGTCTCCCGTGTCCCTGTTGTATTTATTGGTTACATTTCCAATTGAAACTATTTTTGTTCTGTACTACATTGTTGATAAAACCTTTGTTTTGACTGGAATCTCAGGATTTGAGTAAAATATAAAGATTGGATTTTTATAACAAACTCTCGATGCTGTTATTGTCTTGCATTTAGCCGTGCCTAAATAGAGAATGGCTTCAGATAGAATTTAAAAGTGATTGCATTGTTTTGAGTTTTGGGGAGATTTCTTTTTTTTAAATCCAGACGTCAGAGATGGATCATATTCACTTATTAACAAATTGTAATGATGGGTCAAATTATCATTTATATTAGTTGAATTATATAGAGACATCTGGCTTAAGAGTTGCAGTACATCTTTGTTAAACATTTTAGGAAAAATGCCATCTAATAATACACTTGTGTACAAAAACGGATGCCAGTTTCCCACCTGTGTTGTTTCTCAGAATTACTCTAAGCTTGCAAGGCATTGTGGGAGATTTTAGGGTGGTAAGAATACAGCCAAGCACTAATACCTTAAATGCTCTCACACCGAGTACACACATGCACACCCAGGGAGGGGGGGGAGAGAGGAGCTTTAGGGAGGATTTGCTCGTATTAACCCTGAGAGTGGACAGGGCCAGACAGAGTACAAGGAAGACAGACTCAACAGGCGTGTAAACAGACATCTGTCTTATTTTGCACACGACAACAGGGCAGCAGTAAAGCGAGAGCCATGTGTAGGTTAAGTCGTTTCCTCAAATTAACAGCTAATGACTCCAAAGACCGACACAGCAAGAAAGAAAACTGAATATGTCGACCTGAGAAAGTTTCACCAGGAGATGGAGCAGAATGGGACACCCTAGTATGCCACCCACGTACAGCTACCCAAGTCCCTGCAGCAAGAAAAGTAGATCCAGCCAAATACAACCCTACACACCAAACGGTAAGTAGGGACGTATAGTTGATGATTTGATGTGAAGTTGATGTTAATACAGTAATGTTCATGCTTTATGTTAGCACATGGGACCTGCTTATGCAACCAGACGTATTGTTAGACAGAGAGCTACAAGTGTTTGTCCATTAGCCACACCCCCAAAGTGTGGCTCTGGGTCCAATTTGGAGGGACCATTTGTGGTAGTTTTGTTTTGAAGGTTTATGTCCTATGATAGCGTTGCAGCTTTCTACATACTATTAACTATTTTTATACCTCCATCATTAAAAAAATTCATGTTTTCTCACCATTCCACAACAGTCAGGATTAGGGGCGAAGGGTTACCTACAATACACAGAATATCATGATGTTATATATCATTGTAAAGCTTGGACTAAATCCGTTACCAGTCACATTTCCCTGACCCTGAGGACAACAGAATGTGATCTTTGGCCTTTAACACCCCGATCTGGCAGATCCTGAATACCCCTCTAATTCACTGCATAATTATATAATGTGCCTATAGATATTTCTTCACAAACATCTTCAAAAATATATATTTTACATGATTAAAAACAATCCAAGGTGTATATTTAGGGAGTGAAACATTCGATCGGTCAGTATACCACGTTGGTTGTGACTGAAATAACTTGCAACAGATAGCCATAAGACTTTGTAGACACATTTGTGGTCTCAAGAGGATGAAACCTACCAACGTTTGAGATCCACTGACTGTCTCAAAAACGAAATAACTATTGGATAGATTGATGCCCTCCTTGATGAACTTTAAAACCTTTTTAATATCTCAACATTTCATCATTAGATCAAAGTTTGAATTTGTCCAGTACCTTGGTTTATGACCAAATATTTGCTTAAATAATGACACACTCACCTTCCTCTGTTGTACGCTGTTTAGTGTTTATTAGCACGTTAGCATGCTGTGGTTGTTTTGAAAGTAGGATGTATAGAAATAAATCAGAGCACCACACAATTATTGAAATTACTTGCATGATTCTTCACTCCTTATTCATAGGGATTCCCATTGCTTTTAAACTCCCTATTGTATCATGTTGATGTGTTTATGAGCAGCCCTGCTTCTCTCTCACCTGTAATAACTTCAGATTATTCCCACGCACACAGAATCCTTTCCTTCTTTTCGCCCCGTTTGATAACTCTTAATACGTCTCCATTTCCCCAAATCTCTCTTCAGACAACCTGAACAATGCGCTGGGCTCTATCAGAGTCCTGGGGTTGGAACTGATCGCACACGAACTTGAACCACATCTGAACACAGTGCTGGCCAACATTAAGGAGAGGAGTGAGTTCATTCCATTCTTAACACTGTGATATATCACTAGTAATTGTATTCCAGACTGTGCTAATACTCAAGCCTAGACTTAACACTTCATACTACAGCACCAAATACATCAACACACGTCACAGAAATAACAAGTTTCCTTGTTGTTTTCTGGCCTTTCATTTGATGCTTATATTCCTGCTACCACATGCAATGTACATATTTATGTCTTTCCATACACCTATACAATTCATAAGACATAATTCCTCCCACTCCTAGTGGCAGCTTTATCATAAGAGCTCCCCATTTTAAAACCTGGAGCAAACCACACACCGGTGAGGGCTGAGAGGGGATCAGGTGTGTGACAGTTGTAAGTCCTCGCTAGACGCTAAGCTGTATTTGTGTCTCCCAGCAAAGAGCAGCAGGAGCATAGAGAAGCAGAGGAGGTAAAGGTGGGTTACAGAGATCACATTAACAGTGAGGCTGAAACAGATTCGATTCAGTTTGAAGATTAAAGACACACATCTTATCGATATTCTTGATATTTAAAGCCTCATAGTTCCTCGGCTGTGGCGTGTTAAATGACAGGATTATAACATGTTGTGTGTGACTGTGTTGTTTACATGTGTATTTCTGTGTGTGTCCAGAGAAAGGCGCTGCTGAGCAGGTAGTGATCAGTGGGATCTTGCCCATCCTGGCCCTTTCTCTGAGGAGCAGGGGGCCTCTCACTCTGCCCACCGCTAAACTTGTGGCTGAACTCGCCAAGGAGTGTAAGTTATTCAGACAGATCATTTATTAATACTTAGTTTCTTATTCAAGCCCTTGATTCTTAAAAGTACATTTCCTGTCAGTTGCCCTTAAGGCCTGCTTCTCTATTCTTTTATATCTTTTTACTGATGTGGTTTTATGTTAATTCATTGTTTGTTTGTTTCCTGTCAGCTGTGGTTCGTAAAGGTTTCGGTGATGCAGGTTTAGCTCCGGCTTTGCTGTCCGTGCTGACCAGTCTAGACCAAGAGCTGCTGCTTCACGCTGCAAGAGCCATCTCTCGCATGTCTTATGACAGCAGTGAGTACATGTCTTTAAAGGTTTCAATCTAATGCATCAGAATAGGAATCTGCTTCATTGGCTTTTCACACTAAAGGAATTTGCTTTGTTATTGCAAAAAATAAAAAGCAATAAAAGCACGATAGGGCGCCTTTAAAAGATAATAAAAAACAAATAAAAAAGATGTAGAATCAACATAAATATAGAATGCAAGGAAAAATACAATTACATAATTAAAGAAAATAAGTTTCAAAAATAAGTTCAAGAAACATAAAGAGTTAAAGAATACAAATAAGTTAAAAACAATTAAATGTACAAGAAACATACATTTATAAAAGAAGAACTCTAGAATACAAATATGATATAAACAATTTAAAATATGAACAAGAAACATAAATATCAGATAAAAGAGAAGAAAACAAAAATACAATAACATTCAGAAAATGTACAATCGCGAAATATTTGCAAGAAACATAAGTTAAGCATAGAATGAAAATACAATAAAAATACGGAAAAAACACTTAAATATCAGAATTATACAAACAAAATGGATAATACAAAAAAATATAACCATTCCCTTTTCCCCCCTTTTACATTTTTTTTTACATTATTCCAGTTTTTTTTTCAATTGCTATGAAGCTCTCTTACATCTAAACAACTATTTTTTATTTGGTTCTATGCCTCCAGCCAAGCTGCAGCACCTGCTGCTCCGTCGGGGTGCGGTGCCTCGCCTGGTCTCCATCCTGCTCCGCTTCCCTGACAAGGAGGCCCTGGAGGAAGTGTGCCTGCAGGCGCTCTGTAACATCAGCGGCATGGGAGTGGCAGAGGAAGCAGGCATGGTCTGGGAGAGGGGTGCATCTGTGAGGCCGGGGGAGACTGTCTTTCACAGCGTTTCTCCTCACACCTGTGATTTTGCCTCTTCTGTGACTCTGGTGTGTGTGTCTCAATGGGCCCCGGGTCAATATGCGGTCAACATTGAGGTCTTCCAGCGCTGCTCCTCCTCTTTCTGGAGCCTTCACGGGAACAAACGGAACGCTCGTTGTTTTCCTTTCTCCAGATTGGGAAGCTTTTCTAATCTGTTGAAGATTATCAAATTCTCTACAAGGAGTGTTCCTGGAACCAAAAGTCTGAGGAATCGCGTGTTTCACACTTTCCTCTGACAGCTTATAAAACTCTGAAGAAGGGACTACTACAACCTCTGTGAACACTTCACCAATTATGGAATTTTTACACCTTATACACTTTTTTAAAATATTTTGTCATATTCTCTAAATTGTTAAATGTTTCTTGTCTATTCCCGTTTACTTTTATCTGGCTGATGGCAATGTACATCCTCTCTGAACCACCTGTATTACTAGAGTTTAACACTAGATGGCATGCATGTGCTTTGTGGAGACACATGTTTGTGTGCATTGCAATGCTTAAGAAATAGAACACCAGTTTGTGACTTGCACACATGCCTATTCAGATGGACTGAACTTGATAATGACAAGCTGTCTGACTGCACATCTCAGTAGCTATTCTCAGATATTTACATGGATGTAATTGTGTTACTTTACCCTACTGTTGATGTCATAGTGTTGAATTGAGCGCTTGCTCTTTGACTGTAACTCTATTAAATACAAAGGCAGACACAAAGATAGACACAAGTGTATCTATCCCCTCTCTCAATCGTTCTCCTATTTCTCTTCCTCTAATTACCTCTCTTATTGCTTCCCTCCTGCTCCAGGCGTGCCAAAGCAGGGGCACGCCCTCTAATCAATTCTTACTTTATTACTCTGGGAGCCACTTAAATATTTCATTTGATAGAGAATAGGCTTTGGAATTATTTACAGGTGGACAATAGGCCCACACACCTATTCTTGATCTGGTAGATGACTGTACACTTGTTACACAGAGTACAGAGTGGAATAAAAACATATTTACACAAGAGCATTATGGACAAACTAGTAGGAAGCGATATTCTTATAAGGTGACAGACTGTAATTAGTGCATTAGCGGCTGTAGTATCTGGGAAAAACCTTTTTAATATCAAAACAACGTGTCTAGGATGGCAAGACTAATTCCTGTGAGACAAGGCCCAGGAACAATGCTAGAATTAAGAAGCTCAAACCTTTTGAACCGGAGCGAATATGTCGAGTCCAAGAAGTGTGCTGATTACTCTCAGCGAGTGCAGTTGACATGTTGGTTTTAAGGTTCGTGTAATGTCATCACAATTCAATTATAAAAACGCTGCTGGAAAAACAGAACCAAGTGAATATTAAATATGTAAATGTTTGATCTAATGTCCTTCTGTTTTGACAGCTTTTATGTTGGATACCTGTTTAAGCCCCTCATGTGTAGCCACATTCACAGCTGCCATAGCAGTGATTTCCCCAAAAGATATATCTCTCAATCTGTTTTTTAACAACAACTGATAATATTCTGAAGCTATTTCCAGAATAACCATCTAGATGAAAAAATATATCTGTCTGTTACATGATAAAATACATATTTTGAACACATTATCCAAGTTGTGCCTCTTTCTCCTAACAAAGTTGGCAGATCTCTAGACATTAAACATATCTTTGATTAATCAAAAAACAAAACAAAATTATGAACCCAAGTTAAACCTTGTATACATTGATTTTTGCATTTAAAGAGAACCCACACAGCTCTGTGAACACGACACTAAAGCTGGCTCCTCACATGCTTAGTCAAGCTAACTAACCAGCGAGGTCGCTAGCATGCAGAGCTTTTATAAGGCTAAACAAGTTAGAGTTGGATACTTTTTTCTGTCTACTTGGTTTATTTACATTGGATAATTCAGAATTTCTTTGATATTTGGTGTTGAGCTAGCTAACATGAGCTAATTAGCTAAATTTGGTAGCAGCAGTGGAGCTAGCTTGAAAGAGTCAAGTCATGTGATGCAGGTGAGTTTTAAAGGTCCCATGTCATGGCCATTTCTACTGATCATAATTCCATTGTTGTCCACTAGAATAGATTTAAATTGTTCAATGTTCCAAACTCACATTGGTTTCTCATACAGCATCTCTGTAAAGTATGTGTATTCACTCTCTGTCCTAAACGGCTTGTTGGAGGAAGAATCGATAACTCCACCCTCTGCTCACTCCTTTCCTGTAAAATACAGGTCCAGCCCGCACATATGCTCCATGGTGCCACAGGCATTGCCCTTACAACTACAATAAGCATGTAAATGTTAATCTACAGCTCCGGCGATCCACTCGCACCGGAGTCTCCACCTGCAACTACTGTAGCGTCACCTTGGATCATACTTGCCAACCTTTAGACCTCAGAAATCGGGAGCATTTCAAAAGGCAAAATTGGGGGGGTGCTAGTGGATCGCCGGAGCTGTTAGATTAACATTAACATGCTTATTGTAGTTGTAAGTGCACTGCCTTGCGGCCTGTAGCACCGTCCTTGATGGNTCAATGTTCCAAACTCACATTGGTTTCTCATACAGCATCTCTGCAAAGTATGTGTATTCACTCTCTGTCCTAAACGGCTTGATGGAGCATATGTGTGGGCTGGACCTGTATTTTACAGGAAAGGAGTGAGCAGTAGAGTAAAGTAGTTGTCGATTCTTGTTCTGTTTTCTGTAAATATCTGCCTCACCCTCTCAGACTTTGAGGTGCGCGCGCTACTAAAGAGACGTGTTACCATGGAAACCAAACAATGGTGTAGCTGTATTAAAGTCCGAGTGGAAACAGTCGTGTGTAAATCTGATTTTGTCAGAAATCGGGAGAAATGCGGGAGAAATATGACCCCGGGAGGAAACCGGGAGAGGGCAATGAAATCGGGAGTCTCCNTAAAATCTCGTTAAAAAAATTGTTTTACGATGTCTAAAGTTACTGATAAGTCACATGTTTCCTGCCTGGACGCAGCGTGTATCATTACCCTCTCTCGTCCGGGCGGTAAGAAAGAGCCCTAAACCAGAGCAGCAGTAGCCAACAAGCTGACTGTTGCTATCTGTAAACTATGCCGCCGAAACATAATTTCAGCCAATCAGCGTCATCATTGAATTGAACATCATCAGCTGACAGGGCGCCCTGACCTGTGTGTCTGTGAGTTGTTTAGACTCGTATCCAAGGCATACTTGTCAACCCTCCCGATTTTCGCGGGAGACTNTTTATTTTTAAAGATCAAGGCAAACATTATATAGTTGGTATTGTGGTGACCCCTACCCCACAGTTCCGTGTGTGAATTATGACCCAGTGTATTAAAGGTGGTCACCACAATACCAACTATATAATGTTTGCCTTGATCTTTAAAAATAAAAATAAAATGTTTTGGAAAATATATATTTTTATTTATTTTTAATTTTGAATGACAATCAAACATGTGGGATGAGGGGGCCGGCCGCCACTGTCAGGAAGAAAAAAATGGAAAAAGAAAAATCTCCAATGAGGCGTTCTGGGGCAGCATAGACAGGTATTTTCTGTGTTAGAGTTTTACTCGCTACAGGGTGTACTTTACATGCAGAAAAAGCTACATAACACACAAGGGGACGGGTAATAACCGGAAAGGCATGACATGGGACCTTTAAGGAATAATCACATAAAAAAAGTACGATAGGGAATATAACAACAAAATATGTGTATTTGTAAATGTACACAATGTATCTTATTTAATTTATATTTAACACTTTTTAGTTTTATGTGGATCAGGATTTATAAATGCGGAAAAGTTCCATATTTTATTACCTACTGCTTTCAACAAAATACATTTTACAAGTACACGTGGTCTTTGGATGAACACATGATGCGTCAAACACAGAAAGTGTTAAATCAATAGCTCCTCTCCCACTCTGTAATAGGAGGCTCAGGAAGCTGCATATATTACTTTTAATATAAGACTTATTAATAATGCATGATGAACTTTGCATTATATGCCCTCAAACCCAGAGAACATAGCTGGAGCCTGTTTTATTGCTTGTCTTTGCAAATTAGTCATTTAAACTTTAATTCTCTTGTTGATTTCTGCATAAACAACTGTGTGTAATTGCATTAGGACTTCATGGGGCTGAGATTCTCATTACTGCTTTCGTCATTTCTTTATTGTGGCCTCGGATATTTTTAGCCTGTAGCATCCTTCAGCGTAAAACAACAATCATCCACCTTGTGGATAACACATAATCCCTCTATTGATATGGACACACAAACAAACCACAACATATAGTAGCAAGCACAGAGATACCAAACACAGTGAATGCAAACATGTTGATAGATCCTTCCTCAGGGGTTTGCCACTTGTCTTTAAACATAACAGGTTTGATTGGCAGGTGGATAAAATGATGGACCCCTGATTCTCTGCCTCTCTGACACACGGCGCCTTTGCAGCTGGCCCAATACTCACTTATTGACCTTTGTGACAGGTTGAGGACATCTTTCATCAGCAGAGAATACAGAATTAGCATTTACGAATCGATACCTCTGACAAGCAGAAGTGAATTCTTAGACAGATCCACTTAACTGCGTTGCGTGCCATTCTTGCTGGGGACAGTGTTGGCCTCGGCCTTAGATAGAAGAGCTTGTGAGGAGAGTTTAAGCCTCAAGCGATTGGGAAGTGATATTGACAGTCTTTGAACAAAAACACCTCAAGAACAATAAATAGTATTTAATGCCATCTACATATTCAAGTACCGTGTATGATCAAAGACCAGTCATTAATGTCACTATGGGTTTGGTTAAAAAAAAAAAAGTCTTAGAAATGATGACCCACCGGCATCTGTGTGAAAAAGGTAAATACACTTTATTACTCCCCACAGGGTGTTGCTGCCAAAATCCCTTCACACATTGCTGATTATCTTACATGAACCATTTAGGGGGAAAAATCGTTTTCATATGATGGTGATTATTTTTATTGTGTAAAATATTTATTAACTTCCCTGTCATACAGTTGTGCTAACAAAATCACTTTATACATCAATGATACTGATTCTACTACAACTCTGGTACACTGCTCGAGATTATGCTTTATGATATGGAAATCAGTGGCGTATTCTCTTTTTTACAGTTTGGGTAATTTATCTATGCTGTGTGTTGCTGCCACCTCTCCCTTATTGTCATTGAGCATTTTACAAAGGGTGAGACAGTGCCCCGTCTTGTGAAACACAGTACTGCACTCTCTGTAAACTAATCACGGCCGTGATGAGGCCAAG